TGTGTTAGGTCTTCCTTATTTTGACAATAGTTATTTTAAAAATTTTTTAGAGTTGGCCCTCCCTGGTGGCATAGCGGGTTAAAGCACAGCACTAGGAAGCTAAAGCCACTTCCGCATGAGTTCGATCCCTGCCTGCCCCGGAGGTGACCACATGGCGAGCCAGACCTCTCCTGACCCGCCCGCTGCTCCCCTCAGCAGTGTTCTTCATCGATCTGCCTGTTCTGCTCCCCACTCTGTCTCTGGTGAAGCCTCTCGCCACCCCTGCACCTCTGGCCTGTACCCCAGTTCTGTATGAATAAATAAATCTTTAAAAAAAATTTTTTTAGAGTTAAAAAAAATAACCATTGAAAGAGTGTTTCCAAACAAATAATTGAGAATGCCCCAGAAGCCCTCAATGTCAAAGGTTGGCAGGAAATACTCACACAATGAGCCCCCTTGCCACAGACCCTCAGGGGCACTGGGGTTCCTGAGGTGCAGGTTGTGTTGTGATTTGTGCATCTACCTCCCAGTACACCAATGTGCACTGTCTTTCCCAGGCTACTGGAGACACTACAAGGATGGCCGGCTCACAGCTGTTCTGACTTCAGCATGATGGGCTGTCAGGGACAGAGGAGCAGGAGGGAGGGCTGCTGCTGCAGATGCTGGTCAGAACAGCAAGCTTCCTTATGGGAGGCGGGAGTCTGAGCTAATGAGAGTAAAAGGCTGGAGGAGTGTGTGTGTGTGTGTGCATGTGCATGCACTCAGCTTAAGGCACTGGGCCCAAGGCCGAGATCAGGGAGGTCTGGCAGACAGAGGAAAAGAGGAAAGAGGCAGGTGGGGAGCAGGGGAGAGAGGAGTTCCCAGCTGCCCAGGGCCCTCACTGAAATTCATTAAGCAATAGACATTGAGTACCCACTACGTTCAGGCACTGCAGTAGAGCTAGGATAAGACAGCTGAGATCTTTGCTTTCTAGTAAATGTGGCAGGGTGAGCACAGACAACAAAGGGTAAACAAATATAGTTCCTTTCAGAGAGTGATGGATTAGAAAGACAACAAGACATTCCAGAGAGGTAGATTGGGTAGCTGAATGACAGGACAGAACCCACAAGGTAAACACAGGATTGAGGCCAGCAAAACACTCCAGGAGGAGGGAACTGAAAGTGCAATGGTGCTTAGAGAATGATCTGGGATGTTCTAGAACATCAAGAATTCAGATGGAGCGAACATTGTTTATGAGGACTAGAAGTCAGAGGGTCACTCCTAACAAGGATTTCAGATTTATTGCAAAGTACAATGGAAAGCCACTCAAATATTTTCAGCAGTGAAGAAAATATGATTTAGATTAAAAAAAATAATTAGATACTGTGAAGTCTAGTTTGTAAAGAACAAGGACAGAAGCAAAGGATCAGTTAGGGAGCTACTGATCCTATAACATCACAGATGAGAAATAATGTCTTGGGCCAGGATGATAGCTATAAAATGGGTGGCATGAAGTGGATGAATCAATCCAGTATGTATTTTGGATGCAAAGCTTACAGGACCTGCTGGTGAATTAGATACAGGGTGGGAAACGGTAAGAAAAGGGAAGGGGAAAAAGGATGCTGTCTAGGTTTTTAGCCTGTACAAGTAAGAGCCATATTATCTGGATGGGGAACACTGGGAGAGAAATGAATTGGTGGGGACAGAATTCAAGACATCTATTTTAGCCACATTAGTTTCGCATGGCTGTTAGACAGTCAAGTGGAGATGTCAAGGAGGCTGCTGGGTAAATGAGTTTGGAGCTCTGGAAATAAATTTAGGACTCGCTGACATTTACATAGTATTTAAGTCCTGAGACTGGATGACATCACTGGACAGAGAATGTGGAAAGAGGGCCAAGGACTAAGCCATAGGAAGCTGTAACGTTAGAGGTCAAGCAGAGACTGAGAAGGAAATGCCAATGAGGCTGGAGGGAAACCAGGGGAGTGCAGGGTCCGAGACCTACAAGAGCAGCAGAGTAGTGTGCTAGGGAGAAATAGAGTGGGGTGCGATGGGAACCGGGAAGGCAACTTTTGATTGAAGGTTTAGGGAAGGCCTCCCAGAGAAGGTGTTGTTGATGTAAGTGAAAACAAAGAGTGAGTCATTGTTAAAATTCTGGAGAAAACTCTAGGCAGAAGGAACAGCAAGTGCAAAGGCCCTGTGGCAAATTAAGCTCCTTTATTTCTAGGAACACAGATCAGGTCCAGTGTGGCTGGACACACACCTAGGACTGCGTCGTAAAGGGCCTTGTAAGCCACAGGAAGAAGTTCTGATCTTCTCAAAGGTAGAAAAGCTGGGCAATGTGACTTGCTCTACTGATTTTAAAAATAACCGGGCTGCTTCAAGGAGGCTGCATTGTTACAGGACCACAGAAGAATTAAACTCTTGGGACAATCCAAGGGTCGTGGCGAGGTCTTCAATCCCCGACCCCGACCCCCCACCCGGCCTTGATCTCCGCAGGGCGCTCTCCACCAGCGGCCGGGAAGGATGTGGACGGCGAGAGTTCAATGACTCAGACTCTCAAAAACTGAGTGGGGCGGCCGTGGGTGTCCATGCAGCTGGGGTGAACGGGATGGAGAACATCGCCGTAAGAACTTGAGGGAACCCAACGGTCGCTCTGTGGCCCACTCTAACCCTCCCCCTGACTGAGAGGGCGCGACTCTAGCAGCGCGGCAGAAGGAGGGTTAAATCATGACAGGCGGGAGGGGGAGAGGCGGAGACCCGCGCTCGGAGCCGCCGCGCCGAGC